ATATATATATATATATATATATATATATATATATATATATATATATGAAACCCTATCTTTTGAAGGGAAATAGAGGCCACTAGACCCAGAAAAACATGTGGTGCATGTTTTCATGTGAAGAATTTTTAAGTCAATCTGAATATGAAACAGTGGTTGCTGAAGGTTAGGAAGGTGGGAAAGTGTTTAAGAGGGACTGAGTTAGTGTACACTGTATGCGTGTGATGAACTCCCACACAGAAGCCCATTAATATATAAAATTAGTTGATGATGATGGTAGAGCAGGTGAAGTTTTATTCCCACCAGATGAATCTGCTCACGGATGCCCCCATCCCCCAGGAAACATAACTGCTGCTAATTTTCCTCCAAATGAATCTTCCTGCACCAACATGGTCACTACCCTAGAAATGTCTCCATTCACCTCCATGCATGTTATTGCAAGTTTGGGGAACATGGTCATCATTGTCACCACTGCCATGTCAGCCTAGCAGAGTTAGGTCCCATGAGGCTGGCAGTCATACGGTGCTACTCCCACCTATTGTGAATGGCTCTGAGCAGACACTACCCATGTTTCTGAGCCATCTTACAGGGGCAAGCAAGAGCTGAAAGCTTCCTACCTGTAACTCTTTGATTTTCTTCTGAAGCTGGAGGCTCAGTGTCTGCTCGTCTTCCACTTTGCTTTGCAGCTGACAGTATTCAAAGTCCTTCCTGTGGCAGGACATAGAGAACATGTGAGGATGGGATCCCCAGCCACTCACATAGTGGAGGCCATGTTTGCAGGACATACTTCTTGAGCCTCTCATCCAGCTGTTGCTTGTCATTCTCCAGATCTAACATGGACTCCTGGGCAAGCTTCAGGTCTCCCTCCAGCTTCCTTTTGTTCCTTTCCAGGTCCACACGTAGCTTCTTTTCTTGTTCTAAGGAACTCTCCAGCTGCAAAAGGCATCAGTTCCCCTTTAGGATCAAATGATTTCCAAGGGCACAAACTGGCTCCCACCCCTGCCCAGGATTCTTCCACTCTAAGGTTCAAGACTCCTGAGACTAATTCCCTGTGCTCACATCATCCACTTGTTGCTCCAGCTTGCTCTTGAGCTTGCTCAGAGAGTTGACCTTGTCTTCTTCAGCCTGGAGGTCATCCAGGGTCTGCTGGTGGGCCTCTTGGAGGGCCTTCTTCTCCCTTGTTAGCTTTGCAATGGTCTCATCTAACCCAGCCAGCTCCTCAGTAAGGTTTTTAACCTAGAAGAAGCCACACACAATTAGAAGAGGGGTTTGGTTCGAAGTGACTGCATAGAGCCGGAGAGAAACAACAGAAGAGTGACAACCTTGTTTTCTGTAGCATGCTTCTCCTTCTCAACCTTGGCCAGTGTCAGCTCAAGGTCGTCGATGTCTTTCTTCAGCTCTGTGCACTCATCCTCCAGCTTCCTCTTCTTGGCTGTCAGCTCAGCGTTGATCTCCTCCTCATCCTCAGCTCTCTCTGTCACCTCTTTGATTTTGGCCTCCAGCTGGAATTTGGCTTTGATCAGCTGGTCACATCGTTCCTCGGCATCCAACAAATTTTCACTCTCCTTTAAAAAGAAATCACAATTCCCTTTAAGGAGTGAAGGTTTGAGATACTGCTGTCTTTCCTCCTATACAAACTCCTCTGTGAAGCACTCCAAGTAAAGCCCAGACCCACCCACATTAATGCAGCTTTGCCAAAATCATAATCAAATCTGGAATGTGAGAACGCAAAATTCCTAAAGACGTACAGCCTGTACTTGAAGTTGCAGGTCATTCTTCTCTTGTACCAGAGTGACCAGCTTTTCCTCCAGCTCCTTCCTCTTTGCCTCTGACTTGGCGAGCTCATCTTTGGTTTTCTGGAACTCTTCCTTCATGGTAGCCATCTCCTTCTCAGTCTCTGCGCTCTTCAGCAGGGGCTTGATCTTGAAGAAGAGCTTCATCCAGGGCCAGTGCTTAACGTTCATGAAGGCACGGATGTTGTACTGGATGCAGAAGATGGACTCCCTGAAAACAAAGCACGGACCAGCAAGATGGCTCAGCAGGTAAAGATGCCTGATGCTATGCCCAACAACCTGATTTTGATTCCTAAGCCCCATGTGATGGGGGCAAGAACTGGCTCCTGAAAGTTGCCCTCTGACCCCCTACAAGTTTGTCTTGTCATACATAAACACACACACACACACACACAGAGAGAGAGAGACAGAGAGAGACAGAGAGAGACAGAGAGAGACAGAGAGAGACAGAGAGAGAGAGAGAATAATAAAAAGTGATTTGAGAAGAAAAAAAACAATTTATCATTCCTACAATGGATTCTTTCTTTCTCCTTCTCCCAAAGAGCTTATGCTTAAGCAAAGACCCGGCTATACCTCCTTTGCATCATCTTCTGGAATTCCACACGCATGAGAAACCCTCTGCACACTGCTTGAGTCCGAGTGATCAGTTTGGCCAAGCGGTCATCCCTCATCTCTTCCAGGGTTCCAAGCAAGCCGGCCTTAAAGAACACCTTCCGAAGGATGGGTAAGAAGAATGAGCCATCTGGCACATTGTGTTAAGAGGATATACAAAAGCTAACAGAATGAGGTAGAATTGATGCACTACCTTCGTATGTCCAAATTTGTACTGTGTGTGATCAATGTCAATGGAAGCCAAGAGCTTCTCGCAAGCCTTTTTGCTGTCAATGAACTGGCCCTCTGGGATGGCACTGGCATTCAGTACTCGGTATCTGCCATTGTGGACACAGAAATGATCACAGGCTGTTGGCAAAGACTGGTGATCATAGGTCTCTCTTCCTACAGACCAGAAAGCTTAGTTCCCAGGAAGTAAAGAAACCTGCCCATAGCCACAGCTCTAGATAGTAGCCTGGAACATAGGCCTTGTGACTCTTGGGCTAGAGCTTTCTTTCCCTCCCTGTTATATGTCAGACAAGTTCCAAAGAAATGTAGAAGATTCAAGGATGGGAACCTTGTCCAAGCAGTAGGTTATCTCATATGGAAGATCAACCATAACTGCTCTTTTGAAATGATATTTCATGCCTCAAATTCCAACCTTTATCCAAGTCAAAGGACAAACAAAGAATTTTGACCATGTACCTTTGTTTAAAGTCCCCATACAGGATCCTGTTGGGGAATCCCTTCCTGCAGATTCGGATACCTTCCAGCACACCGTTACACCTCAGCTGATGCAGGACCAGGCTATGTTCCATGGCCCCTGAGAACACAGACAAGATACCCAAACTTTGCTTGGAATCCTTATGAACTATGCAGCCACTGGAGGGCTGGTGGTGTCTCACCTGGGGTCTTGGTCTCATTGGGTATTATACAACGCACAAAGTGAGGATGTGTGGTTCTTAAGTTGGACATCAGTTTGTTCAGGTTTTCCTAAAAGAAAAAAAGACTTCCTTTGGCAGCCTACTTCCACAGAGACAGATACATGCATGGTGGAGAAAATTAAAATATATAGCTTCAACTTAAGAGTTGTAAAATTAACTCTGTTCTTGAATGAGCCCAAGACCAGACATAGACAACTGGCACAACTTGGACATTCCTAGCTTGAAAATCTAAAATGCTCTAAAACCTGAACTTTTTCTCTTTTTATGAATCTGAAATTGTTTGAGCACCAACATGACCCACAAAAAGAATGTTCCACTAAATGGAGGCAAAACATCAGTATGCTCCAAATAGCATGTAACATAACCTTCATCCTACTTGTATAAGGCCTATATGGAATACAGATGGATTTTGTGTTTAGAGTTGGGGCCCATACTTAGGAAATCTCACTACATATG